CGGAGAGGGGACCCCGGAAGGCAAAGGCGAACCCAGTCCTTTCTGTCCCGGGGGCAGGATCTGGAAGAAGGGATTCGATTCCAGTTGGGCAAATAGGTTGACTATTAGGAAACACTTCCTAGGGGTGAGAACGCTTTGGGGGTCTGCAACGGAGGACCTGGGGAGGTGGCAGGCCCTCCACAGGTGGGCCGGCTTGGAAAACCACAGGAAGAATTACTTTGGAGTTTACAGGAGGGTAAAATTCTCTGGAAAAGGAGGCCAGTTCTTAGCCCGTCTGCTCTGAAGGGTTGGCGTGAGGCCAGAGCCCTTGGGAATCATTTTCAAAACCGTTTCGGGGGTGAGCAGCCGGGGTGAGCTTGCTTTTGCCGGAGGGGTGCAAGCTGAAGCTGGACAACCCTGTTGTGGAGATGTTTTCATAGAATTGTGGGGTTGGAACATTGTGGGATCTTGAAAAGTTAGGCTGGGTAAGACCAAAGTAAGCCATTTGGGGGCGGGAGGAGACCATGCCTGAATGAGGATTAGAACTGTAGGGGACCACTGGGGTAACCTTGGAGAAGGTACATGCAACTGTTAGTAAAAGGGGAGCTTAGCCCAGGAAGACAAAGTGTGAGAAAGTAACTCAAGATTGCCCTGCCTTGATTCTCTTCACTAAGAGGGAAGGGAGGGGAAACATTTTCAGGCTTTCAAGATCCTGTTACTGTAGCCTAGATCAGTGTTTCTCGGCAACTTTAAGAGGGGTGGACTTCAACTCCCAGAATTCCCCAGCCAGCATTTCTTCCAAAAATCAGGAGCAAATGATTCACGCTTCATTTAAAAGCCAGGAGGTTTATTGCAAGCTTTCCCACACTGAGGCTTCTAAGACAGTGTGGGGAATTCTGGGAGTTGAAGTCCACCCCTCTTAAAGTTGCCGAGGTTGAGAGGCGCTGGCTAGATCAATAAGGTAGAGTTCTAGTATTTCTTCTGGCATGTGTTTCCTGACCTGGCCTACCTCAAAAGGCTGATTCCCTTGTTTCTTCTCCTAAGCTTTTTAGGAGTCATGCCTGCATACAGCGCAAAGGCTGATGCTCTGACAACCAAGCTGGTGACCTTTTATGAGAATGTGACTCCTTCGCATCAAGCAACGGTCCTGTTGTTTGACCCAACCAATGGCACCCTCAAAGCGGTAAGCCCTGGAGGCCTTCCTCGTCGGGCGACAGCCCTAACAAAGAGTGATTGAGCAGTTAAATTGGGGGGAGCTCCAATATCTTAGCCCAGCCCTTCAGCCTGCCCCATTCCAGCTAGTGGCCTGCTGTGGCTTACAGCACTGTTTTTCAAACTTGACAACAGTAAGACGTAGGGACCTCAACTCCCAGAATTCCCCAGCCAGCATGCTGGCTAGGGAATTCTGGGAGTTGAAGTCCATACTTTCTTAAAGTCTCCTACTTTGGAAAACACTGGCCTACCGTTTCCCTCACTTCTAGCCATCATAGCTAGGTCCAAGACCTCTAGAAAACATCTGCAGGAGATTGTGGGGAGGCTAGGAAAGGAATGGAAGGGAGCAGATATAAACAAACCGGAGACAGAATGTGAGTCTATTGACAGCTTATCTCATAAACAGCAACTCAACCCAGGTGGCCAGAAACCTGGGAAGAAGTGTTTCAGATCATTCACAAATGCTCTGCCTTAATGAACTCACTATAAAGGAGGGTTGGAAATTCTTCTTGCAATTTCCAAGATTCTGCATTTACCCCAAATTCTAGCATTAAGGACACCTTATTAAAGTCTGGGTAATTCTTACTTCCTTGATCTCACCCAATTGAACGAGGGGTTTGAAATCACTGATTCTAAGCTTTGGATCTGGGACAGGATTAGACACTCTGTCCTTGTGGTAATTGTTCTTTGTGACGGTCAGTCTATACATGGACTGGACTTCATAGATCAGTTTGGACTTCATAACATGTTATGTTTCCTAACGCTCTTTGTACTCTTCTCCTTTTCTCTTCAAATATATGTGAAAATTGCCATTTATTGAAGTGATCATGAGAGTCCAGGGGTATGGGAAAAGTGAGGAAGGAATATATTGTCTGAGGGGGTATTTAAACCTGTTAGCACCCCCAGCTCTACTGATATCATGGTAGTTTCTTCTTCTCAAGTCTTGTCCAACTGGCTATAGGATTTGAAAGCAAGGGAAATGTAGCTACATATCGGACTCTCAGACAGCGGTAGAGGGAAACCTTGATTTAACGGACTCCTCATTTAGTGGACTTTGGATACAACGGACCAGTGTTCTGTCTATGTAAATAATGGACAAGTCTGTTGCATTCAAACTCATCTGGGCCAGGCGGTTACATTTATGTTGCTTTGACATCGTTGGTGGCCATTTATGTCGTTTAATAAGGATATCATTAGCATCATTTGGTATCATTAAATGATCTCGTTGCATCATAATATAATTATGCAAAGGATGCCTCCTGGCCCAATTGATGTCATTTATGATCGAATGGACATTTGAGAGTACAGTAATGGGCACTCCCTCCTCCCAATTGGTCCGTTAAATCAGGATTTCACACTATTTGCTCTGCATCTGTATCTCCCATGTTCTGGTCATCCCTTTGATGTTCTTCTTTCAAAAAGGTCATGGATGGCAACGTCATCACAGCCAAGCGTACGGCTGCTGTTTCAGCGATAGCCACCAAGGTGAGTTCCTTTATGAGACAAAATAAAGACCAGGAGCTGCCTATCGGTATATCCTTAGCCCAGAGGTCTTCACCCAACATCTTCCAGGGGTGTGGGAGACTTCAACTTGCAGAATTTTCAGCTAGGATGGTTCTTGGCTGGGAACTATGGGAATTGCAATCCCCACAAATCTGGAAGCTGCTAGTACAGGCGATGCCTGGTTTAGCCAAAACAGGATCTGTCCGTTTCTAAGAGTTTGGATTCTCACTGGCAGCTTAATTCCCTCTTTCTGGGCCTGACTGAGCTCTGTAGACCAGGCCCCTGTCATCTTTAAGGAACTCCTTTGCTTCCAATCAACTCTTGTTGATTCCCAACTTCCCTTATTTGCTGGCGTTTCTATTCCTTTTTCAGGTCTGCACAAAACTCATTCAGAACTGGAGCTTTGGGCTAATCTCCAAGGATCCTCATTAATGAAATCATTTGAGGTCGTTCCTTTCAGTCCCTTCCTTAATTGGCACCCTGCTTCAGAGACTTGGTTTTTTTAAATTATTATTATAACTTTACAAAGCTGACAGCTTTAGATAAGAGGTTGAAAGGGTTCATCCCTACTAAAAATGCATAGGCTGAGGGTTTTAGCTTCCTTGCTACAATTGCAATGGCCTGGAGGGATCTGTCGATTATTCCTACTTTGCAATTCCAGCTTTACCAGTTCCCCAAGTCCCTCCATCCTATTGACTCATCCAAAAGAAATACTTTTGGAAACCAGAAGCAACCATTTGGTTGGCGAGCTATGACTGAGGAACAGCTAGAAAGCATTGTTGTAACTGCAGACTTCTGAATTCTTCAGCACTCTTACGAAAGTTGCCATAGATGCTTAATAAAAGTAAAGACAAAGAAACCGGATTGGGTGGGCAGGAGAAGGAAGCTTGATTGGAGAATCCTGAAACTTGCGATAGAGGTTAGCAGGATAGATTGACTCAGCGGTTCTCTTGATTCATTTTTTGTTTATTTACTTTTATTGTTCAATTTGTGTGCCGCCCAACTCCCCCATTTTGTCCTCCTCTCGACATCAGCACCCCAAGCTGTTTTGCGTGGTTGTAATGATTGTACAGAGGGAGGCATATGCAGTCCCCAGGTTAAGAATACCCAGGTTACAGACGACCCATAGTTAAGAACAGAGCCTACTATAGCAATATTTGAGTTCAATACACAAGGATTCGAATTAAATACACAATCGTTCCAGTTCATTGCACAATACTACTTATACAGGATTATGCAATAATGGTGTTCCAATGTCAGGCCTAGCCCAAGGAACTGCAAGAGACAATGCAAATTCAGTTCAGCTATGTTTATTAGCTACAACCTCTAGCAAGAATCTCCCCAGACTAAAACCCCAGGTCCAAAGTCACCCAGCCACAACGGTGTGAATTCCTCAGGGAGGTGCCAGTCTCATCTTCTTGTATCTCCCACGCTCCTCCGGTGAGCGAAGAAAATGTTTATCTCCCTGAGCCTGGCCTTCATAATTCCATTCCATCACATCCAGCTTACATACAAATTTGACTTAAGGACGGACCTTGGAATGTAACTTGTTCTTAAACTGGGGACTACCTATATACTTTTGGCAACAGAGCAATGAGTCAGCCCTTCAAGGCAGACCAGACTAGGAAACCAAAGTTATGAATGCTAATGCTACTTTTATTATAAGGTTACAGTAACAGAATCTTGCAAGTTTGAATGAGCCTCCTCCTTACCCCCCTTTATCTTCAAGAGAACTAGGGAGGGTCAAACCTGAGACGCTTTCTCAAATTACATTTCTGACCCGGACTCAAATCCCTTTTATCTGAGTATTGTCTTGGTTGTGGCTCTATCTCTTGCTCCTCAAGACTTTTCCTGCACCCCATTTCCACAACAGAGTTAATTTCAGCACCTGCCTTGGTGCTGCGTTCTGTGGAAGCAATTCCTCAAAGAAGGGTGGGGCAAAGGACAGCAAATGTGAAATAATAAACATAATGTAAAAACCAGGAAGTTATTTAAAGCTGGTCCTTAAATTTTCGGAGTTGGGTGTGAAAAGGGCTGCGTAGGGAAAAAGGAAATAGTAGAAGGGAAACTGGGGTGGGGGGGTGTCCTCTACTGAAGGGAAGAAACAAGACCACAGATTTTAGGGATATTCTTAATTTGAAGGAGATTGTGTTTAACAGGAATGCCTTTTTCTCCCTCCCCCCCCCCCCCTTTTTTTGGTGGGTTTCTCTTTTTTAAATCCCCCCATACTCGGAACCTCCCCTTCTTTTGGGGCGGGGGGGGCCACAGAAAACACC